ACACGTTTGAATCCAGACTATGTGCCAAAGGAATCACGGTATAATAATTTTTATAAAAAAAGATAAACGTTCCGTGATTTGCTTGTGGGCGGAATACGCCAGGTTATCTAAGTTAAGGTTGGGGAATCTTTTGAGGAATTCACAACCGGAGCTTTCGAACAGCCAAAGCCTGAACCGTAGGTCAGCAAGCTATGTGAAAACCGCAATCCATTGGTGACCGGTGTTTAGTTAATCGGACCATACGCTCTTCAGACGGAATCAAATGTTCAAGGTGCCCAATATACCTCGATACCCAACCGAGGCGATGACGGTGGTGGTGAGTGTGGTTCGTACGCCTCCTCTTGGTTGGCTTGGAATCAGGGCTTCTAACTAACTCCCTTAGGTAAACTGTCAATGATTCACCGACCCGGTTGTTGTCTTTTCGTTCCCTCACTTTAAGTGGAAAAACACCGCCATGAGAAGGCAGTGAGTAGAGCTTCCTCAGGGGAGGCAATTTGAGACGCATGGTCGCACAGGAGCATTTCGCGAGGTGCGATGTAAGGGCGATCAGTTACAACCCAAGACACCCATCTCCGACCATACTGATGCTTTCCGGGACTCTATAGCAAATTCAATGAGACCAACACGCCTATTTTTATCCCATTCAAATGCGACAACGTATCACAGGTAGTCAGTTGGAATGAAGTCAGCCATTAGACACCCAATTCGACGTCTATTCTTGCCTTTTGTTCAGCGCTAATTCAGTTATTTCACACACAGAGGGTAAACTAACTGCATACAGGACGTAGTTTTGTGTTCAGAAATTCGCTTACTTTCATGAAACTAGCTATGTGGATCGAATCATCCGAAGTCTATCCAATTGCATTAGAGAATACCGACCAAATTGGCTAAACAGGGTTAAGACCCGCACCGAGGTGACTGTAGCCAGCACTCATCTGATCATTCATCAATACAGGGATGTATGGGGTATGCTATAGGAGTAGGACCTCTGCGTTGGTTGGATATCGTGTCCCCTTTGGGGCATCCTGCTACTTTTTAGTTTTCATCATGTACCCAACTCTTACCTGTGGCTACAAGAAGCTGAGGCAGGCGTCATCTTTACTTTACGTTACGGTGGCTGGCTCCTGGGAGTGGACAAGCCGGCTTCATGGATATCTCGAATTGCCGCTGCCCACTATGGTGATCTGCGGCAAGATCAGCGCAGACTGTGATCCAGCTTGACTTCCATTGGCGAGCGCCGTAGACGGAGCGGAGACCAAGGTTTTCAGTGTCCTTTCGTACCGTGTCAAGCCAGGTTTTCAGCTGTCCACCGTACCGACAGTGCCAGTTCGGGCAGGGAGGCGGTGCCAAGACAGCTTTTGTCACGTCGTTATCGGACTTACGAAGAATGTGGCCATTAGAATCCTCAGCGTAAAACACCGATTTCTGACCACTTCATTTGAGAACTGATTCCTGTATCGTACTCTCAGAATGATTCTTAAACACCAGTGATCGAAGAATTCTAATCTGTGACAGTCTTTGACTCTGAGTGGCCAGGTTTCGCAGCCGTATAGCAAAACAGGACGAACTGCTGTGGAGAAAACTCGGATTTTTGTCTTGAGACNGGGGATTCTTCAACTGTAAAAACACCTTTCTTGCAGCGTCGACGTGCATTTGCACCTCGTCTTTAGCTTGGCCGTTGGGGAGAATGGTTGAGCCCAAGTATTTGAAGCCGGATCTGATCCGCTCGCCGTTTAGTAGTAAAGCATTTTCGGGATGAATCGGGACTGTCGCAAAGGTTTTGGTTTTTGATGTGTTCACCTCTAGGCCGATCTCGGAGGCCTGTCGACTGATGTGGTCAACGATTACATAGGTAGAGTAGACATGTCCTCGCCAAAGAAGACAATATCATCCGCGAACTCAAGTCAGTGAGCCATAAGTTCGGAGAGATCTGAACTCCCTGGTATCCTTCCATCGAACGACCTATTATCCAGTCCACGGTAAAGTTGAACAGCATTGGGGACAATGGGCACCCCTGTCGCACTCCGGATCCTAACCCGAACGGGCAAGATTCCTCTCCGTAGACACCGATTCGGGCACTAGTGTTAGAATGATAGGATCTCATTAAGTTGGCAAGTTTCGTTAGGACACCATTGGCCAGAACTATGTTCCAGAGGGATTCGCGATCTACGGAGTCGAATACTGCACGAAAATCGATGAAGCAGACTGTTGTAGTAATCGCTATCAATACCGGGGATTTTGATACTTTTGGATCCGGAGCCCGCCAATCTAAATTCTGAGGGACATGTAATATTCAGCTGATAGTCATGCAGCGCGCGTATCGTTAGTGCCTGACTCCAGGCATCTAAGAGTGTTCTTAAGTTCCAACATCCAAAGTAAGAAGTTTTGCGTAGTTTAAGGTGTCCAGCGTACATACTTGTCACTCGGGCCACGGTCGTCGCTTCCCGGGAACGCCGTAGCATGATTAGCACGAAAGGTTAAGTGCATATCCATGAAATTTCTTGGGAGTTAGGTACAGGAAACGTCCCCAAATGTCACCCGGCTTTGGGTCGAGTTGGCATCCTAGATTTTACACATCCAAGTGCTAACTGCAAGGCAGCAGGAAGGTAGCGTATGGATGCCGGCGGCTCCCTAGGAGGAGCTCATACGCTATTGACAGTTGCTAGCTGAACAGGGGTCCATGCATCTCTGGTGATTACGGAGTCATTGTCTCGGCTGCTGAGTCGTGAAACCGACTTCGTCAGCACAACACGTACGTTAGACACCGACTCACCGGGAGTTGAGCTCCCGGTTACCTTCAACCTGTTTTGGCCTGTCTGTCGAGCCGTTTACCGGGGTTTGTCCGCTACTGCNGCTTCTGGGAGACACAGGTGAGAGCTGAGCACCCGGTGGAAACCAAAGAACGGGGGATGCCCCAAAGGGGCCGACAGCCCTCCGAGTCAGAGGTGCTACTCCTACCGGGTACCCCATACACCCCAGGCGTCATCCCGGTAAACCGCTCGACAGGCGAGCTAAACTAGGTTGAGAGTAACCAACGTATAAAAGCCTTAGTGAGACGGCGTGGCATGTAAAGACAACCACTCCGGGCAGACTTGCTGCTATGAAAGAAGCCCGGCCATCGACCCCTGGGTTGCAGCTTCATGTACCGAAAGGCAAATGAGCCACCGGCAACCATGTAGCAACAAAATACTACCTTGCAATCCACATTTGGTTGTGCGAATTTTAGAGATGTGCTCTCGAAAAGATCTGAGTAACTCTGGAGATGTCTCTCGTACCAAAATCTCACGAAACTCCATGATCACCATGGAGCCGGCTTACCCTCTCCAAGGAGCCAGCCGCAGTAAAGTAAAGTAGATAAGTACCATGAAGCCGCAGTCAACGCGCATACTTCTTTTCGTCTGTTCTACACAGTCAAAAGGACAGTATCGAAAAAATATGTATTGTATCCACGGGGAAGAGTTGATCGCAATACAAGTAGAAAACTCCGATCCGTACAAAGGAAAAAAAATTGTGAAACTATTTGGTCGAATTTGACTATCATGTGGTCCCAATCCCATCATTTTTTGTTGCACACGTTTGTGTGATGAGCAGCAGACGCAGTGGACCACATAGCCGAGAAGACCTGCTGTTTACTGATGGAAACTGGAAACCTCAGCCCCGGAAATATGAGTGGCGAACCACATAAGGCCCCACTAGTTGAGGCGTAATATTGAACCGGACGACAGCAAACATGCCTACCACTAAATTTCGGTGACGGTGGCGAGGTTCAAACCTCGGACCATAGGGTCCAAAGCACGCCGGTGACAGCAATGAAATCGCTGCACCACCGCCGCCCATTGTGTTCAATTCATAAAAGAAACCGACAACGATCGCCCTCTGGCACATCATTCACATCACAATAAACAACAACGATCAATAAAGTGAATAGCATACATACGGAATGACTAATTTGAGAGACCAATGCAGAAAAGATAAAAGTATACAACTTACCGTCCATGAACTGACAATCCAACACCGCCGCCCATGGTGATACCATCAAGCAGAGCTATATAGGGTTTCTGTAAAATACCAATAAGGTAGTTTAAACGATATTCCTCCCGGAAGAATAGTTCAGAAGTTTTATCTCCGATTTGTGCTGCCTCGACTACGGCGCGGACATCTCCACCGGCACAGAACGAACGATTTCCCGCTCCTTCAATGATTATGTGGGAAATCTGAATATCAGGCTGTGAGATGAAGACAGAACACGTACCGCGGGATTCTCGTTCCATTCTTTGAGCTGTGGATAGATTTGTCTGATCATATGGAGATCTAAAGAATTGTGTAGTTTCGGTCGGTTCAGGGTAATGATGCCGCATGACTTGAACTCTGCTAAAATGGCACTATTTTCTCCTGATGACGAACACCTTTTGCTCAGAGAAACAAGCTTGGTCAGCGTAATTCTTCTAAGCCCGTGGAAGCGCATGATCTTCCTGGTGGAACTAGAACGGAATAATCCATGGATTAAGAGCATGCGAATGTAATGGAAAAAACCTAAAGTAAAAAGCAACACCGTTCATATAATTTTTATCACTGTAGAGGGAGGAGGGTAGAAAACTAAAAAACGATGAGTACAACCACGCAATCCTATTATGAAAACAATAATAACTTTATTTGAACACGCACAATTTTAATGATCAAGTCCTGGAGGCCGTAGTATAGTAAAAGTTTACGTCCAGCAGAGCTGTACGCTATCAGACACGTGTGCAAGTCTGGCATAAGGGATTCAGAGACGGACGCAGATCGACCACAAATGGCCGCGTTGCGCACGAGACTGCCGACCGTAATGGAGCACTCCCATCGAATCCGACCATGCGTTAGTTTGCGCCAAGCTGCTTTGGTGGGTGTTCTAAACGCACGACACGACGGTTAGACTGCAAGTTGTCTGAACCATCAAACCCGTCTTTCAGAACGCGCTAGAACCAACCCGATCCGATGACGTAAACCAGCACTGGCCACTTATCAAGAGTGCTCTGCATTCTGTTGGCTTAGTTAGTTGTGGTATGACACCCTGGAATTCTGCGGAGTCTCTACGCCTTCTTGACGCACGCCGACTAATCTCGATCGGCAGCGAGCACAATGAAATACGACACGCAACGACTCATAACCTCANCCTCAAAGCAAGCCTGCACAGAGACCGCGAAATCTGGTGGACTCAACGAGCATCAGAGATGGGACGTGCTGCCGCCATGGAAAACTTCCGTAAGTTGTTCCATCTCATCCGGGTCACCGGTAAGAAAACCTTGGGTGTGAGCGAAACTATCCGCGAAGCTAACGGTTTGCCTATTCGTAATCAACAACGACGTCTTGCACGCTGGGCCGAGCACTTTGACTCACAGTTCAGATGGCCATTGGCGTCGGCTTCTCACAGCTTTTCCGACATATGTCACATGGTCTGTCTCAACCCACCTTCTGAGGCGGAAATCCAAGTCTTGGGTCATCACAAAGCACCAGGCTCCGATGGCCTTCCCCTGTTCTATTTAAAAATGACGGAATAAAGCTTGTTAGAGAACTACAGTTCTCTTCTCTAAAGTTTGGAACACTGAGA